CTTGGTAACTGCCAAACTCCAGAAACTCATTGGCCGAAATGTCCTTGGTCATCTCCTCTGTGGAGACAAAGTGATAGTTCTTCCCTTCCACCTCATTCTTCTTCTGGGGGCGAGTGGTGTCTGGAAGAGAAGAGAGTTGGTGAGTGACCTGTGCCCCTGGGGAGGGTGGAGGACCCCTCTCTCAGAACCAAAGGGTCCAACCACCCTTGGAACCAATGCAACCAGACAGCACAAAGGACATGGAGAGGGGCCTTGGAGATAGCTGGTCAGTAGTGCACCATAGGTAGCAACCACAAATTGTTCCCAGGCAGTGGGGCTCAGGGCACATAGGGACACAGATGGGGATAAGAGGAGCAAAAGGAAGGGGCAAAGAAGGGGAATCCCTCGCCACCGAAATGGACTTTAACCCTTTGCCACCTGAGACAATGGTGGTGAGTCCAAGCTGATCACTAGCATTAACTGCCTGCCCATAAAAGCTTGCACCCTGTGTCTCAGCCTCCTATTTTCTCCTGCCCATCAGTGTCTAGAACCCCCTCTCAGTCAGTAATGCATAAGGGATGTTCTTCCAGGCATGATGCTCCTCCTCTGTCTAGAATCCAGGCCAGCAGCACCACTGCAAGCAAGGGATTGGGGCACCGGGTGCCCAAGGTGTCCCTTTGGGTGGTTAAAGGAACATTGTTGATTTTAAACACATGCTCAGGGACCAGTGGCAGGACCCATAGCTACCAGTGACTTAGGCTTTGATACCAGCAAGGCTCCACATGAGCCATGTCCTTGTGGCAGCATCAGAGCCAAAGGAGAATCCTGCCTTGCAGGCTCCAAGGCAGGGCTCCCAGTGCCTTGTGATCTCCTTCCCTGCTGCTGGCACAAGGCTCCCAAATGCCACTACCTCAATACAAAACATATCTTGTCAGCCTACAGGTGTGGAGCCACAGCTTCACTAGCAGGTTGTGCTCCCAGCCATGTCTTCTATGATCTACAGTGCCCAGGAGTCAAAGACGACAAAAGGGACCATCAAGGCCCAAACAGCTGACATCACCCCTTGAGCCCTCCACACAAACAGACAAGCTGCTGCTCAGGTGGGAACCACAGGCAGTTGGAGGTGCCGCGGCCTTTTTTTCAACCAGGCCTGCCCCTTCCCCCAGAGCTATTTTTGTGCCTAGGGCCACAAGATCTGAGGTCCTCACTAGGATAAGTCAGTTTGTGTCATCCAACAGGCATTAGTGTCTACCTGGGGCTCACACAATTCTGCTCTCTACCCACGCCAGGAGCCTCTGGTCCTTCTTCTTAATGACCATAGGGGCAACCTCTAGGCCTACTCTATCAAGGTGAGAGTACAACAGACTTGAACTTGACTGGATGGGGAATCCCCTGTAACCTCCAGGGTCACAAGTGCAGGTGTGGGAAATCCAGGCCACAGCCAGCAGCAAGGGGGCAGGTACTAGAAACAAGCACTGAACCCCAATTTCAGACAGTGTGTGCTGACAAGACCTCCACAGGCACAACAGCTGGAAAATGTCTCCTGCAGGAACGTTTACGACTGCTTTAGGGGGGCTGTTTTTTGTATCTCTCCACCTGTAAAAGCAGGTAGCTTGATGCCTATGAGTCCTAACTGAGCAAGGCTCAGAAGGAGCCAGAGAAGTTACCTGAAGCAGCTTTCCTGCACCAAGAAGGAACCTTCACACAATGTTTGATGGCTCAGGGCCTTGTCAAACTAAAAGTGAGCATCAAGCTTGGAGCAAACAGAAAGTCCTTGGGAAGTTCCTTTTCTTCAGGATAAGAAATGACTACCTCTGGTCCTATGGGACATGGACACTGAAAACGAAGAGACGCTACTGTGCCTGGGAAAGCCATCAATGGTCAGGGCTACCTGCCCCTATGCGGCCTGGCTATCAGGTAGAGTGGGGTTTGCAGGGATGTGCATTCCCACTCTGGGATACTCACAGGGAGCCGGATACATGAACTTCTCTGGGTTCTTGCTGAGCAGGGAGTTCTTGATATGGCTGCGGCCCACTCCACTTGCACCTGTGCAGAGTGAGGAAGAGGTGGGTGGGTCAGTGTCTTCAACAGAGGTTTGGCCTGTGAGCACTGCCTGCTATGGAATAAGAGAGCAGGTGGGGGTGGGATATCCCATCCCCAGCAGGCACTGGGTGCATCTACACATTTATTAATGTAATGCACATTAAATATAGTACCTCCAGGCATTTCTACACATGCTCCGGGGGTGGGGAGGGCAGCACTTTAATTAGAGTGGCTTTGAGAGCCACTCTAATTAAAGCGCCACAGTGCTTCGTGTATCAGTGTTCAACAAGCTTTAGTTCACTGCCATTTTGAAGCATGGGGACATTAATATACAAGACACAGGAGGCTGCTGGAGCGTGATAATTACCATGCTCCAGCAGAATTGATTAATCAAGTCCACGCCGATGTGCCATAATTACAGCGCATCAAAGCAGCCCCTGCTCTTGTATACAGATACTCTCCATTGTGAGGTACTAGAAAAATGTGCATTAGCGTATTTTAATGCATATTAGCAAAAGGGCACTTTTTTGTGATGTTTTAATCTATGTTAAGATAGGCTAATATGCATTAAAGCACCATGTGTAGATGCACCCACTGGGACCTATTCCCCAGAAGCAGTGCAGTAAGAGCTTGGTGTTCTTAGCCTCCAAGGGCCAGGTTTTTAAAGGCATTTCAAACTCCCAAGGAAACTGGGAGTTGGGCACCTTTGAAAAAGGCTCTAGTGATGGAGACCACATGACTGTCTATGGAGTCATAAAGCAGCACACAAGGCAGAACAGTTCCAACCACAGAGCTACTGGACTGCTACTCCCCAGAGCCTGCAGGCACAGCTCAGAGCCTGACAAAGACAAGGGACAGGTACTATGTCCTACCAGGCTCAGGACAGGAGCTCAGCCCCACTCTTAAATTTATGCAGAAGGCAGCTCTGTCCCTTCCTCCCCCAAAATAGCCCACATTGTTTTCACTATGCTGAACACAATACTGCCTTCCCAACCAGCCCCACAACTGGCCGCTATCCCTCCTACTGCAGCTGCAGTTGGCCACGTGACGTGTTCTGCTAACAAGGCCAGCGTGCACCCTGCTTGTACAGATCAGCACAGCTGTGCCTGAGCTTGCCAACTGGCTTCTGGAAAGGAAATCTATGCAGGAGCAGATTTCTAACTCACTCTTTCCTGGGAACTGGGATCTTCTGGGGGGAGCTCATGGGAAAGGCTCTGCTTTCCAATATTATTTTAGAAGGTGTAATTTTTTTCTGAAGAAAATCACTACAAACATACTTCAAGTCCAGCAGATTTCATATATTTCATAGACATTAGGGCTGGAAGGGACCTCAGAAGATCATCGAGTCCAGCCCTCCTGGCCCAAAGGGCAGGAAGTCAGCTGGGGTCATAGGATCCCAGCAAGATAAGCATCCAATTTGCTCTTGAAGGTGTTCAGAGTAGGTGCTTGAACCCCTTCGATGGCAGGCTGTTCCAGACCTTGGGGGCTCGGACAGTAAAGAAATTCTTCCTTATATCCAGCCTGAAACTGTCTTGCAGGAGTTTATAACTGTTCAACCTCATCATTCCTTGTGGCGCTCTGGTGAACAAACATTCCCCCAGGTACTGGTGGTCACCCCTGATAAACTTATAGGTGGCCACCAGATCACCCCGAGCCTGTGCTTTTCCAGGCTAAAGAGCCCCATGGCTCTCACCCTGTCATCGTAAGGTCTGTTTTCCTGACCTCTGATCATGCGCGTGGCTCTTCTCTGAACTGGGATGTTCCCAGTCCTCTCAGAATACATTTTATTCCAGCCAGAAACACATCGATTATGTGGTCTGAAGGCCACAGGGTCCGATCCAGAGCTCAATGAAGACCAAGCAAAGGCTTCCACTGACTTCAGTGGAGTCTGCCTCAGATCCAAGACTGAAGAGGTGCCTGGTCCTAACTCTCATTCAGCAGCAGCTCTGTGACAAGACTGCTATGCAATGGCATTCAAAAGAATTCTAGGACACTGCTCAGGACACTATTGGGGTCATGATGGAGATCAACCCTGGCTGAGAATTGGAAGGGGCCATTATACCTATCAGCACCAGTGTCTTCCTCTTGAACGCAGGGAGCCGCACCACCTCCTCGTATGAAACCACATCCAGCTGGTCAAAAACTGAGGAAAGAAACAGCACTTCAGAGCCAGCGCAGACATAATAGCAGGGGCATTCCTCCTGAGACCCACTGGGCACAACAATGTCCCCAACCCATGGTAGAGGCTAGCAAAGGGGAAATGCTCCTTCTGAAGATGACAATGGAAGAAACTCTTCTAGCATGTTGTGAAGTACAGGACTGATGTTTTCCTCTCCCCACAGACCTGCTTGGGATTTGAGGCCCCAGAGGAGCAAGACTAGAAGCTGCAAGAACTCTGAGCTGAAAGTGTCACAAGGATCTTTATTTATCCCTCTCTGATTTATGGCCTTGTTTATCAGTGGCTCCTGGACCACAAGGCCAGGCAGGGTGCCAGCATATTTTCCACCCTGGCTGCATGACCAGCACCCACCATGGCTCAGTTCTCTGGGGCATGGTGGGCACTGGTTTATTACGGGTCAGATTTGTGCCTCAGTGAATTAAATGAGACTGGCACAGGCAGGGTAAATGCAGCAGTGTTTGCCTAGCTTGGCACCATGCCTGAATGAAGATGGTAGACTGGGATGTTTCTCTGTGGTTGAAGGAATCAAATTTTGATTGGAAACACTTCTCAGAAGAGCCAAACTGGAAAGCTCTGACCTGCCAAATAAAGGATCAGCCCACCCCTCCTCACCACCTCCAGGCTACCCCCTGCCTCTCCCCGCCTCCAGACTCTGCTCAGGAGGAGCTGGGCCGGGCAGTGTGAGTGGCAGCAGCACACCATGCCGCTCTGCTTTCCCACTGGACTGCACCTTGCGCCCTGTCCACCTGCAGCACTGCCACCAACTTGGCATAGAGCGAGCACACCAAAACAGAAGTTGGCCCAGGGTTCCTTTTTCTCTGAGGCTGGCTCTGCTCAGCTTGCAAAGTCAGTGGAGCATTTCACAAGGCTCCTGTTCAGGCACCAAAATAAAGGCAGGGATTTTTAAAATGTTTAATCACCCGTGGTCCTGGCTTTGGGTGCTAAGCCCAGACCCCTCTGCCTTGTGCTGTCACATTCAGGGAGGGTGTAAAGCATCCCCAGGTTGCCATGATAACACTTTCCTCTCACTGCACAGGTCGAGATGATGACATATGGCATAGGGGAGAATCAGACTACTCATCCCTAAGGCAGGGAGCTTCCCCCATAGGAGGGGGAGTGGTCAGCAGGAGGGTATGTGTGTACATGAGTCAGTCTGTTGTGTTGCACATCCCACTGTGTATGAGTTAGCAGTCCCTGCCTGACCCCTGCACTCATCCCTTGCTTGTGCTGGGGACCCAAAGCAGCTCCTAAAAGATTCCCCACCCCAAAGGTGACAGCCTGGTGCCCTTCCTCCCCACACAGGATTTCTAGCCAGCTGGGCCAGGAACACTGTATACTGACCCTATGACAACACCCCTCCTCTTTCCTGGCAGTGCCCCTGTTGTGAGCCCACAACAGCAGTGCATCCAAACCCCATAGGAACATGCTCCTCACAAACTGCTTTGCCAACAAGAGGAGACAATGGGAAGAGATTCTCTGAGGAGTCACTTAACAGGCAACTCAGCCCAGAAAGGTCACTTGAGCAATGGCCACTCAACAGTCCTATACTCTGTCCTGTTGGCAGTGTGCCGTGCACTGTGGCTTTGCTTTTACCAGTGTTTCTGGGCCTCCTGGGAGGAAGGTACTGTAGCCTGTAATAAGGCTATTGCCGCAATTGTGTGCACAGCCACGAGGGACAAACAGGCTTGGGCTGGACTAAATCACAGGAGGGAAGAAATGGGTCAGGAGATTATATGAGGGGATTACTCCTCCATGTAGGGGCCAGAACACCAGGTGAGGAAAAGGAAAAGCCTTGAGTCTGACACCTTTGACTGCCTAGCCACTCTGTTGTAAAGGTGCCCTCCAGCAGCATCAATGTGAGCAAGTAATGACCCAAGCCCCAGGCATGTACTGTTTAACCACTGTAGTACCCTTACCAGGGCCTCACTTTGGTCTGGGCACCCAAAAGTCCCATCGTGTCTCCCACTCTGCTGCTTGGAGGTGGAGAGACCAATTCTGAGCACAAAAGAACTGGGAACTTGTGACAAGGAAGGGGCTCTTACTTGAGCTGTGCTTGGCCAGATATTTGTCTTTGCACTTTTTCTTTTTGCCAAAGGGACTGCAGCTCTGGGCCTCATTTTGAGTGGACTGGGTCACGCTGGCTACACGCCTGCAAGGAAGCAAAAGCAAGACCTGGTCAGATGCTCCCATCTCAAACTCTGGTCCAACCCCTGCCCCTGGAAACAGAAGAATTCTTCCCAAGGTGAATTCCTACTGGGTCCCAAGCCTTGTAAACTTGGTCAGAGAAGGCCTCCAGGCCAGAGTGTCTTCACCACAGGGGGAAGGAGCAGCAATGATCTGGACCAATGGGTCATCCTGGAAAAGGTCAGAGGGCACTGTTAGCTCAGCCAATCTGCCTACCTGTGGCATGTACCAACAGTTCTCCACACTGAGCACCTGGTCATGCCCTCTCCAAACAACTCCTTATAGGCAGCTCTGATGCATTTTCCTCATGGTGACAGAAGGTTTTAAGCCTCCAGCCCCCTGTGCTGCATCCATGTGAATTATGCAGCACACTAAGCTTTATGCAGATCCGAGTTGGGATTCCCCAGCCTAGCACCACCTACTTATAGTGAGCAGGGGAACATACCATTCCTGTAACTCAGGGGAGGGGATCAGGCCCGCTGACTCTGTGGAGAATCCTTCGACCCGGCCCTGCCACCAGTTGCTGTCGTCTTTGTTGATGATCTGGATGATGTCCCCAGTTTTGAACTTCAGCCCTGCTTCTTTACAGGGGATCAGGTTGTCCTTCTTGGGGTCATAGTCAAACTGGGCCCTCATAAACATCTGCAAAAAGGTCAAAGGTCAGTATAGCCAGACTGCAGCTTCAGTTCTGATGAAACAAGCCCCAGCTACATGGCAATCCCAGCTGTTGGTAATAGCTACCAAGTAAGACAAAAGAAGAGATTAACTGGACCAAAAGCAAGCAGTATGTGCAAGGCACATGCCCATCACTTCCCTCCAAGCCTCAACCCCGTTTGCAGTTCTTATCTACAAACTGAATGAGCCTCTCAGTAACACCCCATGAGAAAGAAGAGATGCCACAATCCAGATCCTATAGTGCCAGTGCCGAGTGCTTTAGAAACATCAGCTTGCTCACTACCTAAACAGTCAGATGAATTTTTCATGATCCCACTGGCCAATCCCATGGCCAGCCCTTGTGGCTTAAATTCTACATGTCAATATATCTGAAATTTAACACCACTTCTTTCCCCAACCAGCCTCGGAAAGGAGGAATCCCATCTTTTTCAGGGAAATCAGACTCACCCTAGACCAGAGGTGGGCAAAATACAGCCCATGGGCCAGATCCAGCCTGCCAGGCCATTCTATCCAGCCTGCAGGGCCCTAAAAAATTTAGAAAATATTAATCTGCTCCTGGCTGCTTGTCAAAGATGACAGGAGCCACAGGTATTAGGACCCAGGGGGAGCCTCCACTGGATGCAGCAGCCAGCCCCACTGCACCCCCAGCCATTTCCATGCCTTCCTGCCCCCACACTGCTCCAGCACCACTGGACTCCTGGCTGCATCACTGGACTGGGGAACACGGGCCCGCACAGGTATGTGGGGGGCAGGTGTAAGGAGAAGCTGTGTGTGTGTGTGCATGCGCACGCACGCACACGCGCACATGCACACGCACACGCACGCGCACATGCACGCACGTAGGGAGGGCCTGTGGGGGGAAGGACACGCATGTGCGTGTTCATATGTCGAGTCCTACATACACATCCCAAACACATGTACACATCCCCCCTCACACTGCTGCATGCAGACCCCCACGCCCACACACCCTCAAATACCCCAGCCACTCTCCTGCAACAAACCCCATACCTACTCACACCCAACATATCCATACATACACCCACATGCTCCCTCACCCCACATCCACCCCTACAGACACACCCACACATTCCCCCACATCCTTACACCCCTACAAACCTATACCCACAATATACAAGAGTAAGACTACATTTTAAGCTATTATATAAAATCACCTCTGTGTATACTACACAAACACATGTAAACCAGGACAAAAATATTTTTTGAAATCAAATTTATGCAGCAGATGTTTGCTTTTTAGAATATAATTTGGTATTTTTCTGGTTCCGAGATGGCAAAACCTCTTGCTGAAAGGAGCACTTTCAGGGGCAGAGACAATCCCAGCAGGGCGTGGGGCCTGGGGCAAAGCAGCCTGCACAGGGCCCCCCCATCCCTGCCCTACAGCACATTTATGCCAGGGAGTGAAAGCCCCGGCACACCGGCTGCAGCAGAAGGAGTGGTGGTCAGAACTTCTGGCTGGAACAGGCAAAGAGCCGTCCAACCCGCCGGGCGGGAGGGTGGGCCAAACTTCAGCCATGGCCTCTCCGCCAGCTCTGCAGAGCCCCTCAAAGCACAGGGCTCAGGGCGGTTGCCCCAATTCACACCCCCA